CGCGAGGGTCGGGCGTTAGCAGCGCTGTTGGGGCTGGGTGGCGGGTAGGAGGCGGGGGAAGCAGCCGAGCGCGAAGGAATAGAGCCGCCGGGGCGGGGAGAGGGGTCTCTAGCGGGTCTCCGAGCGCCTCGGGGGGGACGGTGGTCTTGTAGCTGCCGTGGCCCTGAAGGCTTCACCTGGCGGGTTCCTGCCGGGCAGCCCGTCCGCGGCCGCCCTCCCGGCGGCTGATGCCCACGCTCGTCTCCGGCCGCTTGGGCTGGCCCATTTTCCTTTGCGTTAGTTTTTTAATGGAGGACACGATAAAAGTTACAAGATTAAGAAAAATCTCTTTGTCCTTAGGGTTTATGTACACACTTCGTGTGGCATGCCCATAGGATGGGGTCCGATGCTTTCATTGTTTAGACCTGCTGTGCGTGTGCTATGCCATAACAGCCAGTTGATGCGGTAAACTTTGTTTTCCACGAGTGTAAAATAGTCGAGTGCTTTTGGGGAAGTACCTGATCTGCTTTACCTAAACTAAGTGGTAGTCAACAGTGCATTTTCATGGGGAAATGTTCAGGGTTTCCAGATGTATGTCAGCCTCTAATGAAAGCTTAAAGTCTGTTGCATAAGTGCTATGTATTTACAGTTGCTACAATGCCTTTTTTTTTAAGTTAGAAGGCTGTCATAAATCTAGAAGTCTCAGATAAATATAACAGTTCCTCTAAAAACTTCCAGGCAAGACTTACACATCAGGAAAATTAATTTATGGCCTTATGAAAGGAACAAAGCTATATTTGTCTTTAGCTGTATTTCACGTATGACAGGCTGGAGGATGATACTGAAGGTTGTTAAGAGGGCTACAGTCAAAGATGCCATGAGTGGAAATAACCAGACACATCTGGATTGACATCGAGATGTTTTGTCTGAACTCATCCACTAAACCGCATCCTTTGCCTTTACAGCATCTTTCAAGTACCTAAAGTCAAAGAAAAAAAGATGTTATGGTAATTGAAATATGGGGGAGAACATGGGTATATTTTAAATGTGAAGAGAGATAGGAAAGATAATCTCTTAGAATAATTCATTTTAAAATGGCGTGAGTTAGGAAGTGACAGTCTAAGGAAAGATCAAAGTAAAAGAGGTGCCTGTAGTGTGAACTTGAATGGTGGTGGGATAAGGTAAAATGCTTTGAATTACGAATGGTTTGAATGGGCTATGGATTGGGTTTTAGACATGTCAGGTGTGAGCTGACCCTTCACAAAGTATCAGGGAGATAAGCAGAGAATTTGGACAGAAGTAAAACTCTGAAAGAAGTACTGTGGGCCATCATTAAAGAGAACAGTAGTTTATTTTGCATTTCAGATTAGATTACCTATGGAAATGGAGAAGAAAAATAAGGACAAAGTTCGGGGGTTTGTGGAACTTCCTTAAAAAGCTGAAGTTGGGATAGTAAGGTTGTCCTCTGCAGTAACAATTAAAAACAAGTAGAAGTGAAAACCTGTTTCTTTCCACCATGGCCATTTCTAGTAAAAGGTCATATGTTAGCATTCATACTGATGATTCAAGCAGTATTGTCAGCTACAATCAGCTATTTTTCATAATTCCCAATGTACAGGAACAAAATACTTGTGGGGTCTTGGAGCAGAAGAGTTGAGGTTTTTCCCATTGTCCTTCGCTTCAAAACAATTAAAAGCAGTGAAAGAAGGGAGTTGGGGTAGCATGGATGCATAGATGGGATAGGGAGCCTGCCATTTTACACTGCTTCCACCGGTTTTAGAAATCTATCTTTAGTTAGTACTTTTCTTCAGAGCTTCTCCTTCTGCTAGCAGTACTTAACTGTAACCCCTTACTGTCTCCTAATGTTTCTGATTCTCTACATTCACAGTTACCCTTATTTTCTTAGGTTTCTCTTGGGAACTCAGGACTTCCATGCATCAAGGAAAAAAAATTGTCTAGGTTCAGATAGACAAAAGATTGATTTTTGCTTAAGTTCTGTGTGGTTGTAGAAAGACGTTGAAGCAGTTCATTAGATTAAAGATACAGGCTTCAGATTTGTTCTTAAATATGTCAGCAGTATGCTCCAAGAAAAGAGGCAATCCTCTGGATAGCAAGTAATTTTGGAGCCTGGCATACTACAGCTGGGTTCAAGAAGAGTGCAAAGAAGTCCATAGGAAAGAATCCATTGCATAAAAATAATCACTTTTGTGTCCGGAAACCCCTGAGAGATCCCTGGAACCTGGGAGATTATTTGGGGAGAAATCTGACTGTATATTTACCTCGTCCTTATTCTCTAGATGTTCATTTTTTATCACTGTTGGAAACAGAGTACTGGGCCTAGTTGGACTTTGGGATTACCCAGTGTGGTCATTCTTATGTCTTTAAGCTACGGTTGATTCTTCAAGCTTTGGGTTTGGTGCATTATTTCACCTTTGGCATATTTAACTAAACAAGAAAAAAACCTCAATTTTCTAATCTTTCACTGTGTTACCAACGGGATGTGATAGTTATGTAAGAGAGGGAAAAAAAAAGACATGCAACTTTTTACTAGATTAGATAACACACAGAGCTCCACCACCACTCTGTTAAAAATAGTGCGCACACAGAAATCCTTTTTTTTCCTCTTGTAGGGTCAGATAAATGATACTTTAAAACAAAACAAATGCCATTGCACAGTTCACGTGGGCCATTCAAAGAAAGACTCCAGGGGTTGTCCTTCCCCTTCCTACCAAAGAGCAGTATTTTACAACTGCTTATCTACGTCTTGGTTGTCCTTGTTCAGAAAGGTTCCTACGAAGTACTGTGCCTTCAGTGCAGTGAGGTAGAAGTACATTCTTTGCTTATGCTTTTTAAGCTGTTGATTGGATGTTTCTATAAGGAATTCCTTGTACAACTAGTGTGTACAACCCAGTTAAACATGAGATGACAATAAAATACTGTTTTAAGTTGTATTTGACCCCACTTTAGGTAAATTATACACAATTATTCTGATTTAAGATCTTCGGAAATCAACAGCAATATAAACAAAATGAAGCAAAACCAACTCAGGCTAAGGGAACAGGCAGTGGCAGGCAGTGGACCTAAAAATTAATACCTGCGTACCGGAAATCTGGAACCAAGCCCCATTTTTACAGTCTCTTTTGGCATATATCCCAAGAAAAAGTAGTTAACCCAAAGAAGGTAGTTATATTCTAGGAGAAATGTGGTAATGGCTTTCTGGCTGTTTTCCCCCTATTTCTTTAAAGGTAGCTAGCTAGCTATCCAGCTGTTGTAACTTTTTGCCAAGATATGTGTAGCAAAGTCAAAATAAAATGAATTGGAGAAAGATTAGATTAAGCAAAAGAGTCATACTCAAAAGAGTCATACTGTTTAAAAA